AAAAAAAAAAAAAAAAAAAAAAAAAAAAGAGACAAAAGGAGAAAATGATAGTCTAAAACAATGTTTAACAATTTAAATAACGATTTCGATAATAATATAGTAGAAATAATTTCGACGAGTGTGATATCGAAGAAATATTATCTTAATACCTACCTGTCGTTCAAGATTAACATCGTCTTGGTCGCCAGTGACAAAAACTTGGCGCATGTAAGGTTCGCATTTTTGTGCCACTTGGCCAATTCGTGTATCATCTGTTGGAACATCTCGCCAGCAAATTACCTGCAATACGGAAAGATAACCTTACACTCTGTCATACTAATGAAGTTATGCGTTATGCTTCATGAAGGAAATGACTGAAGGAAGCAATATCAATTACCATACCCTTAAATTGCATTCTTCGGTCAATTTTTCAAACGCAGCCTCAGCTTGCTGATGCGAGTTTTGATCAAGGAACAAAATGCCGGTGGCATAACGGCCAAATTGAGGTAATTCGATATTTTGTCGTTTGCTGAAAAACAAAATGAAAGAAAGAAACGTGAAGTTTAGGTGACAAATTACTTTGTACGAAATATCAATGTAACGTAACACGCATGGTATGTGGTATGACAATTATTACGTTACTAATGACCTTTGCAACCACTGTACTTTATTGAACACGAAACAGGCTTAATCTGGTGATTTAGAAGAGGAAGAAGAAAAAAAAAACAAGATAAGTAACTGAATAAAAGAACAAATGAAAGATTTCGCCCTGATTGTAGGGGATTACGTAGCGATTATGTATCGTTTGATATCGACGACGGCAGTATTCTAATAACAATAATAATTATAATAGTTGTGATAACGAGATAAACACGCAGTATTATTGATACGCTCGTCGACGACACAGCGATATAACCTAGAATTACGCCATCGATCTGCAGAAATTATAAAATTAAACACACGCGTTATCGGTCGGTTAATACGTCACAAGATGATAAAGCAGTAAAAGATCTCGGTGTGTTATCTCTTACCGCAATTCATCGGCGTAATATTCGTGTGGAATTGCACAAAGAACACCGGCCCCGTCGCCGGTATCGTTATCGCAGGCACAAGCACCACGGTGGTTCATACGCGCCGAAAGGGTTTCTGCATCGCGAACAATCTGCAATAATACGAACGAAATGAAAGAGAAAATCCGTGTATGCTATCTGGCGAAACGTATGCGAATCGTGGAGAGCCAGCGAACGCTTTTTCGGTTAACATAGGCACAGCTCATTGTCAGACACAAGCGTGCAAAGACGACGTTCCAACGCCACTCGGGCTAGGAGAACAAACTCTCTTTAAAGGCAAAATTCCAAGCCCAATGAGAAAAAGCTACGCGCGCGACTCTCCACTGCTGCGTGGTGACAACACTCACTTTATGCGACTTTTTCCCATCTATGGCAACAATGAATCCAACACCGCAAGCATCCCTTTCAAGCGTTGGATCGTAGAGAGCCTGTTTCGGTGGAAGAGACCAGGACGACTCGGTCCCGTGCATGCTTCTTCCTGTTGTTCAAAGATCCCCACCGACTTTAAAGTAGATTTAAAGTAAGACTTGCACTTTCAACAAGAAATTCGCTGAGCAGCAGGAACAGAGAGGAAACGCGATCGTGTCGTAATCTGGAAAAACTGAAAAAGAAAAAGAAATTTTAGACAAAGGGAGAAAGGCACAGAGTACGGAGAGAACAGAGAAGGAAAAATTGGCTGTTAATCGTAAAAGATTAGTCGAGTTTGTTGCAATCGGAGATACTCTATACCGAAATGGGAGCCGCACGGAGAGGCACATCGATACACTGTGTGTGAAATACGAAAATCGAATGTAGTCACTTGGGCGCACGGACCCGCTCTTGCGCGCGCGCGCTTCATTGATTCATTACGTAAAGAGTGTACGCGCGTAAAGTCTGTTTAATCGCCTAATGCAATAGATAAACCGGGAGTTCGCCGTACACAGAAAACAAAAAGCTCAAGCAAACAAGCCAATTGCGCCGATTGTCCAACGAATTCAAATTAGACGTAGTGCGAAAACCTACTTTACCCGAGTGGGGGAGAGAAATAGAGATAGAGATAGAGATAGATAGATAGATAGATAGATAGATAGATAGATAGAGAGAGAGAGAAATTTAATGCTGGTTTCCACACGACATATACGTACTTACATATATACAGACCCGTAGGTATCTACGTGTGCGTATGTACGTACAGACAGACAACATGGACGAATTCCCTCGCAAATGCAATCCATGTTCGGATATGCGAAATGAATGTGTTCGTTTCGATCTTATTGTAACTTTTCTATGCACACGTTCCATGCACACTGTATACATACACACATACATACATACATACTACTAGTTAAAATGTTGCTTCTTCTCTTTTCCTCCTTCCCGTATGCATGCCACACACAATGTCCGAGTTGAAATTTGATGTATCGCGAATCCGATCTGGTAAATTATTGATACCACTGATCAGAGGTCACCTCTGCGGTCGAGTTCGAAGGCGTAGATTCTTATACGCGTACTCTTCTATCGAAGGTAATGCGAAACTAGATCTCGTTATTGCGCATATTATACTGTGAATCGATCGGCCGACAAACAACAAACATCGTTTCCTTACACGCTCTCATTCGCGAATAATTATCTACCTCGTCCTAATCGTTTCAACCGGATAAATAAGCCTTGCGTCCTAAAATGCGTTCGTCGCATGTAATTCAAAGTAAACAAACATATTTATTTTCTCAGAGTCACGTGTAATGCTCCTCGCCTCCATGCTCCCGAGACACACGTACAAATCTTCAACCGCAAACTCGAATCGATACGCGCCGCGATCTCTCGCAATTGCACAATGTTACGATTAGTTTTCAACGTTTTGGTTGTTAAACATGAACGTACGTAAACACTCACGTTCATGTACAGCACAAAGTTAGAGTGGAAAAGAATCTGCGAGATGCATGTCTGGTACGTGTGTGTATGCACTGTGCATACACGTTAGATGGATTAAAAAAAATCAATACAAACTCGAATTGAACGAGAGAAGAGCAAGAAATGCAAATCCAAACTACAAAAAGCGAAACTCGACAATTTGTAACACAACGCACAAAGGCAGAGCAGAGAGAGAATTAAAAATCAAAAGGCAAGATTGACGCAGAAGATGGTTGCCTCTTCCTCTTCTATCAATAATTTTTCATGATTCGGCGCGTTTCACACATAGCAGATTTACGAAATATATATATATATATTTAATAACATTTAATAGTATTATAATACATCTAGACACGCTTACCAGTAAGTTGACTTGAAACAAATCCGTACACTTTCTCTTTTCGCGCAAATATTTCTCCTATGTATTTCTTTCGGCGTTTCGAAACACGCGTATTAACAAATCTAAATGCGTGAATAAATTTATATGGACTCACGTTTCAAAATCTTCGAGAGCAGAGATCAAGTTCCTGCTTTTCTACAGTATCGAAAATATACGTAACATATGTATGTCGTCGAAAAGTTTCCAACCTTTTACCAAGATCTTTTCCTTCCTACACAATGATATGTTTTATCTTTATTCTTCTCGCCTTATCTTCCCCTATCGTACTGCTGTCTCGAATTTTTTCGCATCCGTTTCGTTATCTTGTCATCTCGTCGTTGCTATCGTCACTCTCGCCGACAATCAGTCTCTCTCTCCTCGTTGCTGTGTCTCATCGAGATTTTCTCTCCACCGATAAAACAGTGGATGTTACTTTCTTTCCAATCTTCTTCTTGTTGATTGTATCTACATGTTATTGTCGACTCGCGAGATTCGTCGCACCGTATCACATTGTATTGTATATGACACTCAAATACGTGTCATATCGTTGCAACTTCTTTTCATCGTCTCATCTTACCACCTAATCAACAACCCCGCGCTTCATTTCGCCATGCAACAACCATCTACAGCTTTACACGGAGCTTCTCCTGCCATTGTTTCTTCTTTTTCTCTTATTACATGTTTCTTCTTCTTTTATCTTGTTTCTCTTCACGGGCACACTTGTTTTACGCTCGACTATCTAACCAACCACGTTCATCTTCATTCATATTATGTAAAGTTCCAACGTAGCTTTAGTTATCCTCTTTTTCGGAAAATCTACCAAATTTTCGATACATTGTCTGGTGTCCACTTGTCTTTTACACTTACTAAATCTATTCTTGTTCCTTTTTTTTTTTTTTTTTTTTTTTTAAGAATGTAACGAGTCAAGAAGAATTAATTTGGCGACACTCTGCGATATCCTACCGCATGTATGAATGATACACAATGATGTAACGCGTCTTTCTTTTTACTTTTACGTTTTTAGGTGTTTGTTTTGGTGAAAATTCTCTGAAAAGGATGGATACAACGATAACTTCAAAATGAAAAGATAAGAAAATTTAAGGCGAGACGAACAGAGAATATAAATACAGCATAGACCAAAATTTTGATGAATACGTTAAGAATGCCTGGTATCAACTCCAACTTGTCGTTGAATTTTAATATGCGGTTGACAGATCAGCGGTATTCAATCGGGGAAATTCTGTGAAATATATGCTTCCAACTGTGTTGGATAGTTCTGGCTAGTGCAAATATTTGGCATTTCGCCAATGCGTCAATAGGACGTATGTAACAGGGCTCAAAAACTCTCGGTTTTCCTTAAAATACATTTCTATTTTAGCAATGCGAAATCATCATTGATAACGCTGCAATTCAATTTGCATACTTGCAATGTTACCCGTGCATGAGAATATTGCCGTAATTCGCAAATTCTTGCGAAAGAGCATCAATCTACCTTTTGGTACTATTTTTAAAAATCTCTCTCACAACCACACCGACATATCGAGATATCGTCTCTTTTTTTTCTCCACTCGCGCATCCTTTTCACCTCCTTTCTTTCCACACCTAAATCGCAATTATCTCTGAGACTACTAGAGTTGTTAAGAAAGAAAGAAAGAAAAAAAAAGAAGAATCTTTTCTCGCTCGTTAATTTCCTTCCTCGCAATGCGAAACAGATAATCTCGAGCCACTCGGTAAATTTCAATTTCGAAGATAACAATAATATACTGTGGAAACGGAAACTCCTGTTATCGTTACGAATGCAGTTGCGTATATTAAATATACGCTTGCCAGACAATTTTCTTTTTAAAAACATCGCTCGATCTCTTCCACGACGGTAGCTACCAAATCAATCGATGCGCACACACGTACTTGTAAACCTTTCAAGGATCCTTTAATCGTTGCCAATTTATCCGTTTATCGTTCGATCCCTACCAATAAAATTGCACATTAGAATTTTCGTATATTATTTCCTGGCGGATCTGACGAAAGTAAAGACTTATGTACATTATAAGAGAAAACTTCGGCAGGATTATTTGGATCGCAGAGAACACTGACTGATACAACAACGCACCGGCATCCACGAGTCTAATTCAAGTACCATATAAACTGGTTTCCTAAGCGATCCCGACCAATTTTATGGTTTCGTGTGTGATCGGCAAAGCGTTCGCGTTTGCACACACATGGCATGCACACACTCGCAAAACAGGAGCACGAACATCGACGATATTCCATACTCATCGATGATGTGTATCCCACATGAAATTAGCGTTTACTATTAATCAAACTCCGCTAGTCTCCGCTAGATCTTTTGCTAGACTAACAAAAATTACGTTTTGGAAAAATTCTCGTACGTGTAAACGCACGTGCAACATACTCGAACAGCGTTTATTCGACAAACGAATGCTCTTTTTTTTTACGCAGAATTAAACTGGCTGTTTACGTAATCCAAATTAAAATAGAAATAACGAAAATATTTACCTGCAGGTTAGGAATCGTTTCAACGATAAATAATACCACGCATGTGCTCAATCCACACAATGGTTAACTTTACATAGAAATTATAACGTTATAATCGCTGTATTCGTTCGATGCTTCAATTTCGTCTACCGTCTAAATGAGAACCGATTCTCATACGTGCACGTTAATAGACGTAAATCAGTCAATATTTCCTCCCGAGTGTGTTCACCATTGAAACGGTTTTTCACTTGACGCTTTCGGCGGTATAACAAGTGTATCGACGTGATAAAACGCACGAACGTGACTGGAACTCTGTTACTCTTTCCCAAAAGAACTTGCTGCTATCGTACTGTGAATTCAGTCGAGACGCAAGCACAACTATCCACGATGCGGTCGAATCGACTAACACAATTTCTTTGAATTTAGTTTTCCTGACTATATTCCACGGATCAACGGAGGAGACGTTTCCTTCCACCTGACGCGACTATGCCGCCTCTCTCGGCAAATTTCCAGTCGATGTTAGCTAAATTATAACATGCGTCGTATGCGTTCTCTTTTCGTGATGTCGCAGCAACTGGACACGAACGAAGAGACTCTGAGTGATATCTAAAATATATCCCTAGTATGTATCAAAAATATACTTGTCGCACAAAGTGAAACTGACTCGCGACAAACATCTCTTTGTGCTCGCGATTCGCTAGTTTCAGCTTGGCCGGAGACACAGAAATAGAATAGCCGAGGATTGGAAACGTCGTAAATACAGAGTAGAACGTCGATTATCCGAACTAATCGGGACACAAATCCGTTCCGATTAAACAAGCGGTCTGGAGGAATCAACTTCGCAAATAGGTTTCAAACACGAGTGTTTATTACGTAAAAGAATACGTACATAGATGCTGTAAGATTTCCATTGTCTCTTCACCTGGTATGCAACACAAGAGCTCTATCTCTTGCGATTAATGCCAGATCCATTTGTACATACATACATAGATTTAATTATCATCACATTTGCTACCTTCGAACTTCTCTCTACAGATGAAAATCTCTCTTATTGTTCAAGTTACTTTAAAATTCCAATAATATCGATTCACTATTTTTTAATACTAGCACTATTTTTTAATACTAATTGTACATTTTCCAACATTATATTCTGCGACTGAATTATAATATGTATTTTCACTTCTTTTTTAAATATTCAATGATATTTAATTAATTTTTCTTTTAATAGTATTTTCATGGTGTAAATGAAGGGCAAGTTTACCTGGACGAGGCACTAAAATTTGGTGGACATTTTATCCATTTCAAAGGATCATTTTATCCGTTCCAAAGTATAAAAGTTGCTCGTTTGAAAGATGTAATTTAAATGTGCACTTATATAATTAGGCTGTATTCAGATAATTCACGTTCTACTGTATATTACTTTGGAATTTTCTAATATATAGGATTCTATACTCGAGGCAGATTAAATTCGATTATGTAGAAATATGTGTATCGTACGTATCGTTGTATAATTTAATCTTCTAATCAAATTAAGTTCAATGTACATATACCATTGTACTGTTTTTCAAAGTTAAAACTTTTCTACAGTATAAAATTTTTATGATTTTTATTCCAATGATATAATCGTATAATAGCTCTCTCTTTCTATCTGTATATTATTATAAGTTGCAGGCTAAAGAGGGAAATGGTTGAATGTGTACATAAACATAATTAAATTTATTTGCTTGTTATGTTATACTCTTCCTTTCGTTTATTAATGACACTTTGAAAATATTCCTCTTCATTTATATACATGTCCAAATAATCTTCGTTAGAATTTCTTATCATTATAATTAATCTCTTTGATAATATATATCTTGTAATCTAAAATCTGTGTATTTTTCTTTGCATGTACATGTGTGTGTGTGTGTGTGTATGTATGTGTGTATTAATACCTATAAGTAGGTACCACTTAGAAATCAAGGAGTATCATCTTGTCTAAAATACTTTTTTTCAATCACTTTAGATTACAAATAACTTTTTTTTTATTTCTTAATCGCATCGTACGTTTACATTAATTAAAAAATAGGTGATCTGTAAATGTTATGTATAATCGTTAATGTATACAATAGTAAACTGTGACAATACTTTGCAAATACTTGTTTAAATCATTATCAAATTACTTTCGTATCGACGGAACGTGAAAATACATATATGTTAGAAAAAATATATAGTGTAACTATATTATGTAACATCATACGTTCGTTGTACACAATAAAAACGATATTTCTACGTGCCGCGCATTGATTTCTCGTTAGTTTATCTACTTCCCTGTTGATTTATCTTAATTTCAACAACTTTCTTTTTCAATAGATCTCGCAAATTTCATTATCATCGGAACAACTAAATATACGATTGTAAAAACAAATGGTAAAATCCAATGTTGCGATGTAAAGAAAAAGAAACATAGGAGTTACAGCGTCTTTTTCTCCACATCGCTCGACGAGAAATTACATGTGCGTCGTACGATAAACGCACGTAAATAAAATAAAATCTTACAACAATGCAACTACATCTACGCACGTAATGAACCAAGGTGGAAGAATTATTATTGGTCACCGTAAGAAACTAATCTAATAGATCTAGAACGGACTGATCAATAACGTGAATTTAGTAGTTTACCATTTGAAATTTCGTTTGGTCAAATATATATGTGTCATTTGTGTTATATAATCATTATTTCATTTTAAAGCTGCCACACATTTGATTAAATTCGTAAATATTTCATCAACGACGATTGCATTAAAGCTATCGTGCCTCTTGGCTGTGTAACGAAAAAGTGCACACGAGTCGGTCAGAGTGCTCGGTATCCGATACGCGTCACACATCAAATATATAAATACGAAACAATATCGTAAATAACAAGTAATTCTAAAAATTCAACTAGTGTTCTATCTATGTACATTCAAGATAAAATGTATAATCTTTATATGGTACACTGTGTTTCAGTAAAATCGATGTAATAATTCTCAAATCCCAGGTTAATTACCATAGATTTCGTTATAAGCCTTATAGTAGCCATTGCGTAGAACTATCAGAAAATGCAAATTGGTCCAATGGAATGATTAGGCATTAAATGCATTCGACATTAACTGTGTAATTAAATACTAAAAATACAAAAGCCAAGAGGTGAAATATACTATTACGTGAATGCATTTATTTTACCCTAATATACCCCTACCTAAATAACAATTGTCCTACTACTTGTCTCGTCTCCATATCCATTTTCATGGCATACTTTTGGTCAAAACAGTGCAAATAATTGCTGGAATGATCCATATACGTCTACATAGAATGGTCGGTTCCGTTACGAATATAATACACATTATATACTCTACATTAAATATAACAAGTTTCGTTCTCGACCTTTACCATGCTGATCTTTCTGATCTTTATTCGCATTAACAACAGTATGATTCTAAAAAAAATAAATCAATTTTTAATTTTCAGTCTTAATTTCTATTGTTGTCGGTTGCTATTATTGTTATTGATATTACTGCCATTGTTACTGTTATTGTTATTTGGATTATTGCTACTGCTGCCACTGTTGCTGTTATTGTTGTTGTTGTTGTTACTGTGGTGGTTGTGGTGGTGATGATGGTTATTACTGTTTAGTGTAGGAACACTGGGGTTTCCAATGTTGTCTATCTCGCGCTGCGCACGTGAAATTTTTACCTTGTCCCGCGGGGTTCCATCTTCACCGGTTTCCATTGCGAACATCTTCATTTTTTCCTTAAAACTGAGCTTTTCAGGTACTTGTCCCACTTGAGAACTTTGTTGCTGTTTTTGCTTTTCAGCGAGTCTTCTTTGTCTAGGATCCCTAAATAGCCAAGTGAAAAATCTACAGTTTATCTTCTGATTATTACTAATCATTCGAGAACAACAAAATTAGCATGTCATGGCGTTACTTGTATACTTCCTGAGCACCTATAACACCAGGTGTACTACCAGTAATCGAAGTTCCACTGGATCCTTCAGGCGTTTTTGGAGATGCCAATAAAATTTCCGCATCGTTTATGAAATTCTGAAAATGCGGTTTGCACAGTTTTTGTAATTGAATTTTCCACAAGAATACCGGGAAGCTAGCTACATGTAAATAGTTGGCTACATGTTGAATTAATGAAAGATTTAATTACGCAAGAAAAGTCAAGTGCTTCGAAATCGATTCTTAAGTGCTAAATGATCGATTCTGAGTGTATGTATGTGCAACAAGAAGGCTCGTCAAGTTTTCTTATGCAATACAATTTATACAATATTTGTAAGTAGTTAAAAAAAAAAAATACAAACGATTAGATATATGTAAAAGTGATGTTAATTTAAAAATATACACATATGCGTGCAATCTATCTTACATTTGGATCTTCTGTAATGACATCCATAGTCGAAACTTGACTCGTATTAGAATTTCCAGACGAAACGTTTCGTTGCATAGATTCTACATTTGCGTTCGAGTCGTGAAAAGAAACTTTCTTAATGGACGTCGATTGCGGTTGAGTCAACGTTATTATATTTGATATGTTTGCATTATTTGATCTGAGAGTACTCTGCTGCGACATAATCGCGTAACTGGAACCTCGTTCTGGAGGTAGAGGCGCGTCATTGCTAGCGTTTTGCGTGGCTGTCAAAATATACACGTAGTATTTATATATCGAATAATTATCACAATAGTTACCAGAAGAAGATCATTTCTTTTTTCATTTTTATTGAAATTCATAATTACGAATAATATAAATACTTACAAGATGCGTTTGATCCGTTAATAATTAAACTGTCCAATCGTAACATACTGGGATGCAATAACTGTTGAGTTTTTAAATGGGATTGCAACTGCTGCGAATGATGCTGTTGCTGATACATTTGTTGAATTTGTTGTTGCTTGTTCATTTCTTCTTCCTTCTTTTTCGACTGAGCATCATCGAATTCTACTTGTTTTCGCTTAATTTCCTCGTGTCTACGATGAATTTCCTTTTCTTCGTTAGATTGAGACAAACCAAGGGGTTTCTGAGAGGAGGTCAAATGAATCAAGGATGACATTTGAAATTGCCCTATGTTATTTGCCATTTGATTGGCGTGTTCGTGTTGAAAGTCTGACGATAAATGCGAGTCAGAATTATCTTGTTGTTGTTGTTGTTGTTGTTGATGTGATTGCTGCTGTTGTAAATTTGTAACATTTTGCGAATATTGCTGAGACGAACTATTGATCGTGTGTGCTGTCGCGGCATTGGTAGAATGCATCAGGGAAGTAGTACCGGTAGACTGACCAGTGTGGCTCCCTTTGACAGATTGATTGATCATATTGGTTCTAGACAAGTTGAGATGATGTTGGTCCAGTGAATTATTTCGATCTTGCGCCACCGTTGTACGAAGCAAACTTTGTTGAATTCTTATGTTTTCGGTATCCAAGTCGTTACTTTCCTCGTCGTCGTCCTGTTGGTTGGCAACTTCCTCGGCTCTCTTTTGAAAGTCTCTCTCTAGTTGAAGAGCTCGCAGTTGCTCCTCTTGTTGCGATGTCCTATGAGATAGTGCACTTAATTCTGCTATTTGTTGGTCCCGCCATTGTCTTGCAGCTTCTCTTCTGCGCGCTTGTTCCTAAATGACAGTGATTGTAAGAATAAAACGATAAACGACAAAGACTTGACAAATGAACTTACTCTTTCTTTCTCTTCTCGCTGCCACGGATTTGAAGCGCTATACTGATACTGACGTGGTTGTAACGCAGCCCCACTCGTATTTGCAGGATAGTATCCTCCGCGAGGAGGATCCTGCATACTCGCGGTGTACCTAGATGGGCAAGCGTTTCTTTCAGTCTTTAATTATCTAACGTTAGTTATCTACGTCTTTCTATTGTAACCGATAAACAAGACGTTACCTTGAATCCGTTTGTTTGTTGTAAAGTGGATGAGTCGAAGTGCTCGGTGGCGGCGGCGGAGGACTTTCTGTAAATCCTTCTTCCGCTAGAGCAGACCGTATCGAAATTTCGTTGGACATGGTATTTCCGTCCGACGCAGCTTGCGCTCTGTTCATTTCACCTTCGTCATTATAATGTTCGTTTCGTACGTCCGAATTGGCGTTTAAATAATACTGCGATCCAACAGCAACATGTTGGTTCTGATCCACGTACAATTTCCCAATGTCTCGTATACCCTGATCTCTTCCATAGTCGAGAAACATTCCGTTTGACTGCAAGCGAATCAAATCATTCTTTCCCCTCGGTGATGTCACGCCAGCGTGTCCATATTGAATGTGTCCAAGATTTTGTTGTTGTTGTTGTTGTACATTTTGATGTTGGTGTTGGTGTTGCTGTTGCTGTTGCTGTTGGTGTTGATGCTGATGTTGGTGCTGATGCTGATGCTGATGCTGATACTGATGTTGATGCTGATGCTGATGCTGATGCTGATGCTGAAGTTGATGTGGATGCTGATGTTGCGACTGAGGTTGAGATTGATGTTGGTGTTGATGTTGATGTTGGTGCATATGCGAAGACTTTCCATACTGAACCATGTACGAGCCGTACTGCGTATCCAAGTAACCAGAATTCGAAGAACCCGTTTGCCTTGCGGCGACATGACCAGACACTGAGATGGATGGTGCCGAGGACACTGTTACTGGTGGACTCGACCCCAAATTTGGTTGAGAACCGATAGATTTTGTCGGTCGGACGCCAGAACCGACCGACGATTGAACAGACATGTTTGTTTTCAAATTATACGCGTTTGGTCGATACTGATTCAATGAAGCTGGAACGCCACCTCGTAGTTCACGTCTTCTGACCTCCTCCTGCATTTCTTGAAGCTTCGCTTCTTGTCGTATTATGTCTCGAGACGACTGAGACCTTGGCGGCGCTGCAGAATTTTGTTGCTGCGACAGACCACCAACGGGATAAGCTTGCTGTTGGGCTTGAGGCACGTACGCGGATATCGGACGGTCCTTGGTCTGATTTATTTCAAACGCACCCGGACGATTCAGAAAATTTTGCGAGCCTCTCGAGTTCTTTTGCAACTGCAAAGGATTCCTGAAGAATTCGCGAGAAGGAGGAAGAAAATTAGGAGATTTAAATTGACAACACACAAATGGGAAATATCAACTAAGAAATAAGAAAAGTGAAGCGAATGAATTTTATTGAAAGAGACAAACGACAAAGAAAGCTGCTTACCTATCATCCGAATGTTGAGACGGGCTGTGCCGTTGCTTGGCCGTGTTTGCGGGCGCGTCTTGATTTCGATAGATGCTCAAGTTTTGATAAAATCTTTCGGCTTCGTTACCTTGAAGCATGCTCGAACCGACATTGACGCTCGAGGCATTGTTACTCGTTGTTTGACCAGGGTTCAAATTTGGCGACGACTGCTGTCTACTCACAAGACCGGTTGGTGGTAACGTCCCAATTTTTGTCGGGTCGTGCAAATTATGACTCGAGCTGTTTTATATATATATATATATATATAAATATATATATAAAAAAAGAGAAGAGCAATTAATCGTGATGTGATTCAACGTGTAACGTCTGTAATTTGCCAGAATTCGGGGGGGAAAAAAAAAGGAATCTTACCGAGAACGTAGCGACGTCGAACCGTTGATCGCAGTCATTGGTGGAGGTGGCTGAGTGACGGGCGGTGTAACGCTGTTGCTCGACGATGCCCTGCTATAGCCAGGGTTGAACACCTCGTGCTGCTGTTTCCCATCCGTTCCTACGTCTGTTTCATACGACACGTGTCATTAATTTACATGCGTACGTACGTGAAATTTTAACAATACGAGGAGGCAATAACGCGATAATGATACAATAATAAACAGAAATACAACGTACTTGTAGGTAGAGAAAATGGAACAAACAAAGAGAATAGAAAACGAAACGAAAAGACGGGAAGCGGATTAAAATCGTGTGGCGAGGTAGTAACGAAATGAAGCAAAGAGAAACGAAAGGGGTGCGCGAATTCAACAACCAACAGCGTGGTAATGACAGTCATAACAGAGCGCAGAGCTCGCAGTCATCATCATTCATTTCCCCTCCTTCAATTGTCATCATCTCTACTTACTATGCAACGCTGGCACGGACTTGCTGGTATGTATTTGCTGTTGCGGGGCAGTTGCATCGCGTCCAAGCCGAGACGGTAAATCTCGTTCACTCATGCGACGAGGTCCTGCGATAGCCACCACACATGCGAAAACATATTACATATGTATCTGTGTAATATTCGTAGCTTACCGACGTTTGCTATGAAACATTTAGACAGGCATGGACAACTCAGGCACTATACTATATACCAATGATGACGAACCTATGAACCAACGCCGGTCAGACACTGACCCACGCGTTGATTTTTATAAACTTATCATCATATATATAAAACAATTTTAATTATTTTTCGAACTCCTCTTTTCAAAAAATGTTGAAAAAATTACAAGTGTTCGGTTAGAGCTTAAAAGTGAGAAATAAATGCATAATTGTGTTTTATGGAAGATTTACCACTTGGTTATGTATATATATATATATATATATATATATATATATATATATATATATAATATAGGTATTTTAAGTCTTAAATGTTATACGAGTTACTTGTGTGTAAAAAATTTTATATAGAATGGGTAGCTTTGCTACTTTTTTATATAATAAAAGAGAGAACAGACAATAAAAAATATTAAGAAATAAAGTGTGTGTGTGTGTGTGTGTGTGTGTGTGTGTGTATATATATATAATGTATAGTGCAGGGGTGACTGGGCATGATGTCACCCCTTTTATATCAATTTTTCGACGTTGACATTTATTTTTTGCTCTTTACTTGCAAAAGTAAAAGTTAAAGTAAAATAAAAAGGAAACGTAAACTTTTTAGAGGATTATAAAAGTGAGAACCAAAAAAAAAGTAGTTTTTAACCATCCTCCCCTCCACCTTTCCAAGTGACGCCACTGACTTAGTGACCCACGAGCTAGTATTAAAAAAAAAAAAAAATAATGAACAAATTTCAACCTACTTTTCAAAAAGGTTCGCCGTCACTGCTATATACATACGTATCACGAATATCAATTGAACGGATTGCATCGCTCAAAAGAAATCATAAAGTATATATAAATAACATCAAGTCTTCACGCGTGCATCGCGTGCTCATCGTTATCATTCAGTACCATCACCAGTGCGTGTATGTTTGTCAGATTACAAAGTACACATTGTACGCTTATTTTATCTATGCTCACTCGAGAATGTGTTCTAACAATACACGTGCATGCATCGCAACGAGAGACGTAGAAACGATAATAACGTGTAAGTGACATAGAATACAAATATCGAATATACGCAAATCTATACATACACATTATATACGTGCACAGTCATCTTCACGTGAAACTGAGAGGATGAAATAAACAAGAAAAGGAGCGAACATGTAACATCAAGACTGTAAGCTCGTGGTTCCCAACCCCGTAGGCTCCCACACCCCAGCACAGCAAGGCAATCCGAGAATGAGTTTGCCAACAGTGAATTCTTTCTTCTGCATTTCTTTAAATGAAAATTCAACTTTCCAATTTTTCTCTTTCGTGGACGTCACGCTCTTTGGAAGCTTGTTGAGGCCTTTTAGACTTTCTCCACGTTAAAAATTCAGTTTTTGGATTATATTGTAAGGATTTCAGAGATGCTCAGGTGGGGCATGGCCAGAAGAAGGTTGGGAACCACCGCTATAAGCGAGCCGAGTTCCATTCGTCTCTTTTGTACATTTTTTTTCATTCTCACTCACTCACTCACTCACTCACTCTCACTCTCTCTTTCTCTCTCTCTCTCTCTCTCTCTCTCTCTCTCTCTCTCTCCCTTTTTTTTCGCTCTATACTTTCAACCTACATAAAACGTGTAAACATCTCATCATGGCGAGACGAGTCACCAACGAAAGAAACAAAAGAATGTGCTTAAAAATTGCGACCAAAATTCAAATTCCTGCAACTCAAAGTGTCAAAAAAATCAAGAGAATAATGTATTTACGTATCTTGACATGCCCTATGACACTATGGATTGGCATTAAAAAATTTTGTACATGACACTTTTTCTCAACATTGGCAGGCACGCGTTCGAAAGATGTGCGAGAGCAGAATTAATTGCTTACGTAGAAGAAAGCCAATATCCAGACGAGTTTCACTTGATCTTTGATAAATCTTGGATTCTAAACCAGACATTTTCCAATCTTGGTCGAGCTTTGTATCGGCCTCTAGATCTCTAGATCGGCCAGACGTCAACGTTTCTCTTTCAATCGTTGTACACCCCTGTTGATCGATTTCAATCGGCAAAACGTCGAAATGGTTTCTCCCTTCGACGCGCGACGCTGAATTCCCTTCAGATTTCAGATCTCCGACGATGAAACTTTGTTTGCAACGAGCTTTGGCCCCGTTTTCATCGTTTCTATTATCTCGCGACGAGTCCTCGTTCAGAGATCGAACACACCGCTGATCGTTGGTGACGAGAAACGACGAGGTAGCTCGTCCCAATCGATTCTCAATCGCCAAAGAGCATTCCTTCGAGTTACACCACCTTCGTTTTGGCTGCTCATTTTCGTTCTCATTCCGACGCAACAATTCCCTCGCCTTCTCGACGTTCGGATAGGAATTGGACAGGGTTTTGATCAGTTTACCATCGACGGGCACCAGCGACGATCGTTTGCCCTTTTTCTCTTGAACGCAATTCCCTCCGATATCCATTGGCCACGACGACGCAAATCTCTGAATATTCGCCTGCATTTCACGCAGAAGCAACGGCGCAGACGCCGCATCTCGCTTCTCATCAACGACAACTCCGTCCGAGGATTCGGCATTTGCACATCTGTTTGACAACAGGTGGAAAGAAGGCAGAGAGGGAGAACGATAGGGAAAGGACGACGACCCTCCTGCTGTTCTCGAATCGTCGCCGAGATCGGACATCTCTCTCAGTTGTTCTATCATCTGTCTTTGTTCCGACAATGACAACTTTCGTTTGCCATTCGTCGATCTAACACCTCCGCGCACTACCTCAGCCAAATCGTTGGGATCGCTGTTCTCACTCGACAGATCGACGGTTAATTTTTCCAACATTTGATCCGATTCGATCGATAGGAGATATCGTCGTTTGATCTCATCGTCTCTCAAATCCAGTTCGGATCGACAGTGATTGTGATTACTGTCGTCGTTGTCGTCGTTGTCGTCATCATCGAGGGTAAGAAACCGACCGGAAAGTGCTTGACGAGCCCGAATCGAGGCGACGTTTGGTTCCGATGCGAACTTCTTCGAACTCTCCAGCAATTTCATCGAATTGGGTCGACGACCGATCGACGGTTCAACGTCGCCGAGTTTCGAAAAGTGTTTGGTCAACGCTGCGACGCGACCACCGTAACCGAGGCGCACCTCTTCCGGTGATTTCCAACACTTGCCGAAGCTCGACACGTTGCCCGACGTATCGCCATCTAGGCCAGACAGATCAAGATTTAACACTGGAATCGCTGCGTTATCGACGCCGTTTTTTGCCGTCGTTCTCAAGATCGTGCAGATTTCAACAGCATCGTCGTCTTTTTCTTGTCGCTCGTCCCACAATTCCTCTTCTCGGTGCTCGTTCGCGATCCGTGATCCCTCGATCATCAATCGTTGCGAGCATCTGGGACGTTTGATCGTAACGTCGTCGCCATTGCATCGTGGTAAATTCGATCTCGCGACGAAATCGTCTGGCGAGATATTCGTCACAGCGTCAAACGCGCCGTCGTTGCCTTTCGATCGGTAATCGTCGACTTTGTTCGAAGGATGAAACGGGAAGGGCGTTTCGACAGTTTGATCGATATAAGGTATCGAATCGAGAGAGAGATCGTCACGTTTGACGGTCGTCGCTGTCGTTGCCGAGGGCTGTCTGTCCGAATTTGCCGACGGGTTTAAAACGATCGACGACGACGTTCGGACAGCATTTACATTTATCGGTTGGGCAAGCGAAACGAATTGCCCAACTTCTGAAACAGAATTTTGGCAAACTTTGGTCTGGTTTTCTTGGTTATCGGTAAGTTGAAGCGTGTACATTACTGCTCGGTAGATATAGAGACAATAATAATAATATCGCGTGATTTGCTAATATCCATAGAATCTGAAAATTTGCTCAAAAATTTCCATTACCATCACCACCACCACCACCACCACTACTACTACTACCATGTTCAACAACTACAATACTTTCTCGTTTTTCTCGTTTTCAAATGTTGCTCTTTTGTCTTTTATCGGCCATACGTATTTCGCGTATTTTTATTTTAATTTTAATAACCGCTCGTCATGGGTCAACTCGTTGCAAACGAGATTCCCAGAGCAGATCACAGTATACCGATTCGAGATACAACGGAGCGACATACAGAAAGGAGAAACATTGAACAAATTTCGACGAAAATAATTCACAACAACGCACATCCAAATCCTTTTGAACAAATCGAAGAAAGAATCGCACCTGGTACTGAATCGATCGAACGTTCCGAATCGATCGCATGCCTTGGAACGCTCAACAAATTACCCATCGAATGCGACGTAGATGGCTGCTCGTTCGTTTCCTGTACCGTCGAAGAAGCTTCCAAGTTCTCGGACTTGGGTCGAACCTTGTGCGCTGCTCGGGAACAATCAGTTAGTAAAGCGTTAATCAAGCACAGCGATTATCTATATTTGGCTGTATTTGGCAACGGACCAGAACCCGACCACAACAAAATAACAAATGCGAGGCGACGGACAATGCGAGCGAATAATTCACGATTCGTGAAAGCGTTGTCTCAAGCTGTTCTCTCGACATTCCGCAATTCCGACAAAATCAACAGCATCGCCCCGGGATCGATTGGAGTTTATTATTTTCTATTTTTACTAACGCAAGTTTTAAGCAATCGCTTAATGTTTCACCTCCCCTCTCTATTTATTATCACATTGCTCCTTTTCACGCTCGTTGCCTCACTTTCACGGCGTTCTTCATTGTCTTGTAAATTATATACACACATCACGTGCGTGTATATACTTGTATACTTTTTCACCGCAAACCTCTCGTTTCGTCAGTATCACAACGGAACGAATCGTCGAGCGGTGAACTCGCACAATACTCGAACGTATTACATTGAAAATATTAATCGGAGTGGTGGTTGTTACTAGTTCGAAATGTGGACCAACAAAAACATACGCACCTCTGGTCATCACTGGCGAAGGTTGAGACAGCAAAGTGGCTAAACCGTGGTATATGGCACCTTGCTTAGCAACTTCCAACGTTACTATTGGCCCGGTTCGTACTAAATATTCAGCAGCCCTACAAAAAGAAAAGGAAAAAAAGTGACAGACACCGCTACTGTAGACAACTCTCACTGCAGTAAAAATTGACGTATCACGTGGGATTTTCCCACAGTGATGATTCTATAATCATTGTGCAATCTCAATCGTTACTCACTTTTCTTGAGTTATTCCTACTAAACTTTGTCCGTCCACTTTTAGCAGTTGGTCACCAGCCGTCAATCTACCATCCTGCATATACATATATATATGTACGTGTGTATTTTAAAATTGCGATGAAAAAACTACAAATAATTAGCGTCATGCTATATAATAGACATATATATATATATATATATATATATATATATATATATATATATATATATATATATATATATATATATACATATATATATATATATA